ACAAAATTTGTGATTTTCATTCTTTTGTTACGATAAGGCTATTTTCAAAAAAATAACGATTTTCTATAAAGTTTGATCAAAGGTTATCGAGGTCCAGGAATTCGAATCTATAAGTCGTTATACAAAATTTGTGAGTTTCATTCTTTTGTTAGGATAAGGCTATTTTCAAAAAATAACGATTTTCTATAAAGTTTGATCAAAGGTTATCGAGGTCGAGGAATCCGAATCTATGAGTCGTTTTACAAAATTTGTGAGTTTCATTTTTTTGTTAGGATAAGGCTATTTTCAGAAAATAACGATTTTCTATAAAGTTTGGCCAAATGTCATGGGGATCCAGGAATTCGAATCTGTGACTCGCTTTTCAAAATTTATCAGCTTGATTTTTTCGGCCACTAAAGGCCTATTTTGCAGAAATCCGGATATTCCCATATAGCTGGCAAAACTATGAGAAATTGCTTCACCCTGACAAAAAAATCGAAACTCGAAAATTTTCCGAAATCACTTATAGATTTGGATTGCTCGACTCCGATAGCTTCCCATCAAACTTTATACGAAAATCATCATTTTCGGAAAATACACTTCCCTAACGAAAAAATCAATCTCACAAATTTTTCCTTCTCAGATAACAGTGATTTCTTACCCCTATTATGGATATCAAAATTCTGACAAGCTGAGATATGCACACAATAGCAATGATCTCTATCAATTTCTGTTGATTTCAAATTGATTTCTGGCATTAGAAAACAGTTTCTTTCCCCTTGATATCGATGAAGAAGTTAGATTAGCGGTTAGAATAAGGGGATAGATATAGGTTAATGACTTGGATTAGAAATTAGAACAACAGAGTAGAGTGAGGCCTCAAATGAAGAGGTTAGAATAAGCAATGGAATAAGAGATTAGAATAAGGGGATAGATTAAGGGGTTAGAATAGGGGATTAACATGAGGGATTAGAATAAGGGGATTGAATAAGAGGACAGCTGAAGGGATTATAATAAGGGGTTCGATTAAAGGGTTAGAATAAGGATTTAGATTACACGGTTAGAATAAGGGGTTAGAATAAGAGGATAGAATAAGGGGTTAGAATAAGGGAATAGATTAAGGAGTTAGAATAAAGGATTAGAATAAGGGGACAGATGAAGGGATTATAATAAGGAGTTAGATTAAGGGGTTAGATTACGCGGTGAGAACAAGGGGATAGAATAAGGGGATAGAATAAGGATTTAGATTAAGGGGTTAGAATAAGGGGTTACAATAAGGGGATAGAATAAGGGATTAACATAAAGGGATAGATTAAGCGGTTAGAATAAGAGATTACAATAAGAGGATAGAATAATGGGTTAGAATAAGGATTTTGATTAAGGGGTTAGAATAAGGGGACAGAATAAGGATTTAGATTAAGGGGTTAGAATAAGGATTTAGAATAAGGGGTTAGAATAAGGGGATAGATTAAGGGATTAGAATAAGAGGATAGAATAAGGGGATAGATTATGGGATTAGAATAAGGGGATAGGATAGGGGTAGTGCGTAGCTGCCGGAAACCTATTGAAGGTTTTCGAAGTCTCGAAAACCTTCAATAGGTTTCCGAGATCGTGAGCTTTTTTCATTGCTTTTGAAGGTTTCCGAGAGCTCGGAAACCCTTTCTCGGAAACCTATAAAGGGTTTCATATAGTGACAAACCCGGAAACCCTCTATAGGTTTCCCACAAAACCTCTTTTTTTTAGAGTGTAGTTGCGTGAGTACCACCAGTGTAATTCTCAATAACAATCAATTTCTCTACTCACCTACTTCCCAAGTTTATGCAGCCGGTATGTTAAACAATCAATTTGGTATCTATAGAGCGTACGGATATGGTAATGTTACTTCAACAACAATTTGGACGGCAAGCCAGACCTCAACATCCCAAACATCCTTTCTTGCGTTACAGACAGATCGTCATTTGGTTGTTTATACATCGACTGGAGGTGTGCTGTGGTATTCTGGTACCAATAATGGCGGTGTTGGAAGTCCATTTTGCTTTCAAATGTTAGATTCAGGAAATCTTATATGGACTGATAATTCTGGCACAGTTGTTTGGCAAACAAATACTGCACAAAGTGGATAGCTTCTTCGTATGCCCTCTTTACGGATATGAATCTAACAAACTCAAAGTGATTCTTTCATGACATTCTCTTGATATATAAAATGTTCGAGTACATCTTCTTGCTTATAAGATTCTGCTGATCTCTCAATCGGAAATGTGGTTGTGGATGCGGTTGATTGTGTTGTTGTGGGTGATGCGATTCTCTTCACTCAGACGCATGTACCCACATCCACACCCTAATTCATGTACAACTAGCTAGTTCACTTTCAGCTTTTATTGAATTATTTTATCGCAGTAGTGTTTCGCGACAAGATTGCAATAAGATGATGTCTGTATAATCTGAGTACAAATAAAATATTCGCATACAGTTACAATGTTTCGTGTAAGTGATTGGCTGCAACACAATGTTATGATGTTAATAATAACGTTAATAACTGTTTTGTCGTTTACAAACTGACGAGATACTCAGGTATTTATTTTACTCAAAGTATAGCTGGTGGATGATGTTTCGAAAACATTTAATAATAAAATGATACATAAGATGATAGTAGGAACGCATATGATATAAGAACGAGCTTATAATCAATAATGATCGCATGATTTTGATAAATCGACAAACAGAGAAACATCAGCTGTCAATTTTACTTGTATGTTCTGTCCAATGTCTGTTTGCATCTGTAATACATTGTAGCAAACCAAGTATCAAAACTAAAATACAGCAACTGCTTTTTAATCTTTCAATGCTAAACAACATGGAAATAAAAGATGTCCAAAAATTAATTTTGTTCGTGGAAAGTTTTTCAACCGTGAAATTTTTTTGATGCAATATTTTTTAGTGACAACATCGAATACGTCATCAAAAAGTTCATTAAAATGAATATCACTTTTTTCATAACTTAAATATAAAGTTTTTTTAAATGCTTTTGTATAAACTTGAAATATATCAAAAATTGGGGAGTCGAGGATAATGAGTGTTTGAAAACGTATTGCTTTATTGAATGAAATCATTTTACAACAAAAAAGCTTCTTCAGTAAAAGACATAAGTATTCAACTCTCTATCTATTTCTGTGCTGATAGGTTTTTAGTTCCGACTGCAGTATCACTTACATCTCTATGTAAAGTCACAATACAATTCAAGTTTTCGCATCGAAAGTATTTTGTTGTATTTCTAGTTTTGCCAGTTTAAATATGAAATTGTCTATCACCAATAATGTTTTTCATTTTCATGGCAAAAGCAATGATATCGGATTAGAAAAAGCAGCTCTATTATCTAACAGAAAGGGAAGAAATTAGTCAGTGTTCGATTTCTATCGCATACATAAATAAAATGTACAAAAAGAATTTATTTCAACTCAGCTTGAAACTGAATCAAAAATAATTCATTTCCCTAGTTAATAATGGCGACTTTTTGAGTTGATGCATATCAAAGGCGCTCAATTAAATAAAATCAGTACAAATAGTATACATATATATATTCAGTATTTTAAGAATGAACATAGATAATAGAACGAGCCAGCCAAAAAACAAGAATCTTCCAATCGTCGCATTCAAGCGATCACTCACAACTAATATCTTCTCTATTCAATTTTAACATTCGATATTTTCCTTTGTTTTTTTTTTGCGTTCATTCTCACAAGCAGCAACCTGTTATCAATTTTGGAACACGAAAATTATGCCCCAACAAAAAATTAGAGAATGTCTTCTGTTTCGAACCGATAGCCATTACGCTATTTTTTTCGCTTTCTTCTTTTCCTCTTTTTCTTTTCTTTCCAAAAGTTTCTTTTTGGCATATTTCCTCTTTTTTTTTGTAGGTATTGAATATCGATAAAGATTATTTTTCGAAAAGGAGGAAAGAAGAACGAAAAAAATATTAAAGAACAAAGAGAACGAGGAAACATGGCGAAATGAAATCACTTCTATTTTGGTACAACATTATCTTAAAAAAGACAAATAGAAAAAACTATATTTACCATCTGAACTCTTAATGGTGAAGTACTGACAATGGAGGTGTTTATACTGTCCGTAAAAAAGATAGCACATATTTGGGTCAAATAAAAACTTTAACCGCCAAACTAACAAGGTTAAAACATTAGCGGCCCTTGGCTTGCCTAGAGGAAGACATTCGATTTTTATGGTACTCACGCTTGGGTATATAGAAACACTAGGATTATTTACATTAATTTGTTATTCAATCACCGGAGGGTTTCAATAGTAGATTATACAAGAATCTTTCTAAAATTTATCAATAGTATTAAGATCACATTAGTTTCGACGTCTTTTGAAATTTCAGTAGCATTAATATACATGTAGATAAAGATCAACTAGTGGTTATCAGAATTTTTAACTCACGAATAGTTTCGATTTTATTTCGACTGAAAACAACATATTATATAATAACCTATTTTAACAAATGTCCTACAAGTGTAGATGTAGCTCTTCAGTCAGATGATAGTAACAAAGAGCTTCTCTGCCCCAAGCACACATTAATAGTGTTCGTGGGTGGGTGTGGCTGGGTACTTGTCTCAACTACACTCACACCCACACCCACACCCGAATGCATCTCGTCTGCACAGTGTTCACTGATAATTTAATTATCGATCGTTCAACGATTAGTTTGATCGTTTACAGAGATTTTACTAATCATTTCATCTAATTTGTCAACTAAATATTATGTTGTCTTTCGAAATTATTGTAGAACGCTTTATCGCTTGATCAGTTGGTTTTCTTTTATCAAATATTTCTCCGTGATTCACTTATGGAAAAATTATATTCAACTCCTAAAATTCTTAAAAAATATAAAACCATTGGTGATCTATTGATTTGGACTTCGTTTATTCATCAATAAATCAATTTATTGATACAAAAAAACTTCAGAAAAAATTCTGAACTAAACAAAACCAAATTTAACTAGTGAGAAAATAATAGAAGTTAGAATCAAACGGTAATAAATAAAAGAAAACGAATAAAATGATAAGCATGTTTTCAATCGTAAAAATGTGCTAGAAAAAACGTCAAAAGTTCACGTTATTGTTTTGGTCTGTACGAATTGACAGCAGAACCTAGAATAAGTAAAATGAATGCAATCATAATTAGTACAATGAAAATTACATCAAAATTTTATTCGTTCAGTTTTGCTTCTATAAGAGGAACCGGTTCGCATCCTGCATTCAATCGAATCATGGCTAAATCCAATCGATGATGGGTCAGCAGATGTAGCATTCTCAAATTTTATTTTATCCCAGTGAAAAATATTCATGTAATAATCACGATTATTTTTTGATTATGGGCAAGATAGCTCGATTTTTACTAAAAAATCACTTTTTTTTGCAAAAACAGGGCGCCTCTGAGTACATCTGTATGGGTCTTCTTTTCATCTATACAAAACTGATTATCACACAAACCCATTCTCACGATCACTAATAAATTCTTCGTGCATGTGGATGCGAGATGTTCATTCAAATAAAGTAGTGCTGTGATCCGCATGCAAATGATCCTACTCACAGTAAGGTATTTTTTCAAAGTTCAAAATTGCGTCATTTTATTGATATTCTAGAATTTATGCAACAATTGTGGATTTTCTTAACAGGTTTTCACAGTCAACAATCTAGTTCCTTGCTTGACTTACTGGAAAATATGGAGCAAAGCGTCCAATCCGAGCCTGACGCTTATGTACAAAACTTCAGAGAAAGTAATCAAAAATTAAAAGACTACTCACTTTTACGTGCAATTGTCGATCATACTATGTTTGTTTAGCCAGAAACAGGTTTAACATCAAAAGATCTGGCTGCCGCACCACTTATTGTGATTGTGACGGTTCCAATGGTACGTGCAGTGTGAGTTGTAGTAACGAGAACCACTTTTTCACCCGATCTTAGTGAAACGGTAAGTTGAAATTGGTTATTACCTCCACTCTGATCATCTGACAGCAGTAAATTCGCTCTCGGACTTAATCGATTGAAATTGCTGTACAGCAAACCATAGGTGTCAATAGCGCTGTTACTTCGGAAAGTGTAAACACCACTGGTAGATGCAGTAACTCGAAGGGCGACGTAATAATAGCGGCCAGAACCTCCTGGACGTGTGAAAACTGCACTATTCGTTGTCAATCGTATCCTATATGTGTAAACGTTTGGTGGCGCCGCTGTCAAGAGAAAAAGAATAAAATTATTACGATCTTTTAATACAATCAATAATTGAAAAGTGTTCAGAGATGTAGCACATCTTCAAAGATTTGTCAGACTCTTAGATTTCGTTATTGACTACATCTTAGTTAGGATTTGAATGGATCATCACACGCGTCGATGACTGATAGGAAAGCACCATCCTATCATGAAAACGAGTAATCTTTGCTGACATTATTACTGTTGAGTTTTCGCACCCATAGTAATTTAGCTAAAGAGAACCAGAACATATTGCTGTGTTTGCACAACACCACATTTAAATCAAAAACAAAGCCAAGACCCGATACGTAAAGTCAGCTTTATGTTTTTTCTTGAAGCTCACTTGAAACCATTGGAACATGACGAGTAGCTTAGATTATATACTGTGTGTTACAATATTCATGGAATGGATCCTTGGTCTATATACCTTATGTTCTACAAAAGACTATTCTTTCAGACATTTATAGCTAGTTAGCTTGATAGTGATCATAAAACATTTTTGATCAAAAACACATGCAAACTTTAGTATGAAATTGTGATAGGTTCGTAGGATTTTTGTAAACATACCACTAATTTGATGCATATGCACCGATAAAATAGAAATCTAGCCGAAAGTTTCAGTACAATCTATTTAGTCGACCGTTTGATGTTATTCATTTCCACTTAAAAAGATGCTCTTGTTTTTATTTGACTGAATCGTGACAGTAACATGGCAAAGAAATAAATAGAGCATTACGCTAAGATGATCAGATTCAAGCGCTATACAAAATAGATTATATTGAACATTATGGAAGACGTTCGTAATTTTACAAGTGATGAATTATGAGAACACTGAAATGTTCTTGAACAATAGTCAGAAT